AACACTTCACTTGTGCAGGGGCAAAGGCCCTCGCTAGGCTCTGTACCTTGCCCGTGACACTTGCTAGTTTTCTGGCCATTGTCCAATTTACTCTCGACAATGCCTTCAAACCGGCTTTTGTTTCTTCTAACTTCTGTTCCGGCACAATCACCTGCTCTCTTTCTGTATCCACTATCAGACCGTAGAACTTTATCCTTTTTGATGGCATTGGGTTGCTCTTGTCCCAGGCCAAAACGAAGCCGCAATTTTCTAGATCCGGTAGTATCACTTTGTCCCGAATTTTTGTCAATATCGTCTCTGAGGGGTGTGCTATCCATATATCGTCTACATGTGCGCCCGAGGCTATACCCATCCTTCTCCAATGCGCAATCAAGGCCCGCATTATTTTTGAGAACACCCAGACCGCCTGGGAGAGGCCAAACGGCAATACTTGGTACTGGTACCAATTGTTTCCTACTCGAAACCCCAGAAAGCGCTAGGCTTCCATGTTCATTAGGACGTGGTGATAACCGTCCCTCAAATCCAAGGTTATCATTGACCAACCTTTCCCTACCGACCTTAGTAGGCCCCCCAAGCCTTCGAAGCTGAAAGATTTCTCTGGCAACCGCTTGTTTAGTCTCCTCAAGTCTATCACCAGCCGAAAACGTTTTGGGCCCGGTTTGGAAACCAGGAAAATCGGGGATACCTCTAGTAGCACAGTTGGGCGGGAACCTGTTATGCCAACTTTCACTATTGCCCCCAGTTTCTCCAATCGAAGAATCTCCCTTTCTAACCATACTTCCTGATCCTTCGCCAAATCGTAGGGCCTTGGAACTTCGTTCTGAATCAGACTCCACACTTCTCTTGGGAACAGCGGCACATAATTTCTCAGCCAACAGACTACTACTGGTGGCGGTTTTATTACTTCTATCCAATATCTTACTGCCCATGGTTCGTGAATCCTCCCTACCACTTTTCTGCTTTGATCTAACATGTCCATTGATTTCATTGTATTGTTCTCTATTTTCCCCCGAGTGTGGTCACCCTCGTACGTTGTTTCCCTTATTCCGAAAAAACCCATTACTCGATGAGCTTCCTTCCCCAGGCTTTGATGCACATACTGCCGCCGTATGACCAGCTCCACCACAATAGTAGCAGGTAACCTGCTTTAACGGTTTATTAAAAGAATTCTGGTAAGTCGGTCCTGGGTTTTGGAAT